CTTTCAATTACAGTTTGCATAAGGCCGGCCTGGTACATGAATATTTCCAATCCGTTTTTGAAGTCTTCAGTCAACGATCCCTCAGCATCTTTGGGCGTATATATCCACTTTCGTAGATAGTATATAGACATTTCAAAAACAAAAAATTAACTTTTTGTTTTTTCACTTCGATATAAATTTCAACTACTAAAATTATATTTAAACATTCATAGACTCAAAAATTGTGTCTTTATATGTTTTTTTTTGTTTGGTGGAATAATGAAAGAAGAGAAGGGGTAATTATTTGTGTCTTCTTTTTCACATCTCTGATCTCTGAGAAGTACACTGGATTTATAATTATTTGTAACAATAATATATAAAATATATTTAATAATCTAAAGAGGGTGTGTACTTGGATTTATATTAATATAGTGTTTAATTCCAAAAATGAGTTACTACGGTGTAGATGGACAAGAGTGAATAAAAAGTCTTTTATTTCCACTTTTCCCTACAAAATTAAAGGTGTAGAAGCACACAATTATAGATAAAGTATCCTTCATTTCCAATTTTCCCAATTTGTTTGTTCAATTTGTTGGGGGAGAAAGAGAATTTGTGGCACTAGCTCCGAATCATCATGTGGCACTAGCTCCTAAACTTATAGAGCGAATTTGTGTCCGGCTTGTAAATTATCTAACAGGCTCAATAGTTTGATCAATTTCCAAAAAGTATACTTTAAAAAGACTAGCATCACTAAAAGGATATTATATTTCTTGACGAAAGGTTAGTCTTGCATTTTATTGTTAGGGTATCTCCAATTGTTTACACTATATTTTACTCTAAAAATTTTAATTTTACAAAATTTGGAAGAGATTTGATACAACGGTTTCAACGAATACGAGCCACATGAGAAAACGGCTCATGAAAGCGGCAGTTTGAATTCTGAAGAGAAGTATAAAAAGAGCTCGCAACATATGAAGAATAGACATCTTTCCTCCCGAAAAACTCTAAAATTACAGGTATCTTTTTGTACACTTTCTCTTCGAGAAATCCTGTATTCATCTCCAATTAATTCAATAAAAGTCTAATTTCTTCAATACATTTCTATACTCGATCGATTCAAATACAAATCTGGCCCATCGTTATAAAACTCGTCCCTAAAACTATACATAAAATAGTTGTAATGGTTCAAAATAACTATAATCCCAACAGTTGGAATGGTTTAAAATAATCATATTCTCAAGAGTTGCAATGTTTGGATAATAACCATATCCTGAAGAGTTGCAATGTTTGGAGAATAACCATATTTTCAAAAATCGCAATGTTTAGAGAATAACCATATTCTCAAAAGTTACAATGTTTAGAGGATAACCATTTTCTCAAGAGTTACAATGTTTGGAGAATAACCATTTTCTCAAGAGTTGCAATGGTTCACTAAATTACTTTTAGCACACCCTCTAAGCCGGCACTGGGTGTATGCATGAAGTGTAAAATTTGGAGTGTTGTTGTGGGATGAGTAGACTTTATCTACTATATATAGTGAAAAAGTATAATATCAGAGTAATAAATTCCCTAAATTAGACAGGGTTATGCATAAACATATAAATAAATACACTATTATCAAAGGAGAATAAACGTTATAGCAATAAAAACAAAGATAAATCGCATCGAGGCCTAAAGGAAGGACTTAAAGATGCTACAAAAAAAAAAAAAACAAGTAAAAAACCTCATTTTAAAAGCCATCTCTTCACCAGCATGAGTCGAACTTCAGATGCTTTTTCCCGCTTCATGCGTAATACCTTCTTGAAGCCAAGCTGGGCCTTCAATCGAGAGATAAGAATGGAAACGATTCCATCTCTTGTGAAGTTCCTCGAGATTTCTCCTGGTATGTGATTGGATTTTAGAGATTTTAGTTCAAAACTATACTTTGTAAAAGCATGCATGTTTCATTTTCTGCACCTGCTCTGTGGCAATTCATTAGGATTCCAAATAGCATCAAAAGCCCCAGTCACCACCTTAATCACCACACATAAAAGTGGTTAAATCAGGTGACATTGTTAACTTCGTTAACCCAAATTTTATGTGGCTTTCTCTAATTAGGATTCAGGCTTGTAACATAAGTTGTCTTGATTATTATTTATATATGTACTAGAAATTTGTATACCAAATAACTCCAAGTGAATCCGAATATTATGCACCCCAACCGAATGTTAAATTAAATAAACCAGCTTTTTTTTTCAAATCGTATTTTTATTTAGATATATACAAAGAATACCATTAGTCATTCACATATACTCAAACCTGAACCGCCCCAAAAAAAAAAGCTGAACGGACAATGAAAAAGGAATGTCCAGCTTTGGTCAAACTCAAGAGAAAGAAATACGGGAGGATTCGAAGAATTTACCAAAACCAAAATTTTTAAATGTTGGATTTTTATTTTTTAAACTGATATTTATAAACTTTTATATATTTAGATACTAGTTAACATTTCTGCGCTTTGCGGACTAATATAATTTCCATTTGATTGTTTGAAAATTTAATAGTTGTTTGGATTCATTTGTTTTTTTATTTTTGAATATATTTGTTTGTTAGATTTCTTTGCATTTTAATGTTGGAAAACATGATCGTGAAAACAGTATAAAATAGAAGAGAGTAAATAAAAACATAAAAAAATCCAAATAATTTAGTTTAAATAGTTTTGAGATCTTTTGATCACTGTTCTATATATTTTACACATAATTTTTTGAAATACCGTATGAACTTATTCGATTTTGATCACTATTTTATTTGTTTTAAACAATACAAATACCATCATTCCATTAGTTAGATATATATATTTTTTTTTTAGAAAAAAAATTTTGTTAGAGGTTTTTTTTCAATTTCAGTTTTTTTTTTTTTGGTTTTTGAAACAACATTTCATTACTTTTTAAATAGATTCCATTTTTATTTTAACATTTTTGTTAAATTTTTTCTAAATTTTGGAAACATAAGAAATGGTAAACACCTAAGATATATAGAAGATTTCTTTTCTTTTCTTTTTAAAAAACATTTTTATTTTTTTTCTAAATTTCGGTTTTATAAAAGTTTACAAACGGTTTAATTTGACAGCAAAATTAAGCATTAAACTATTATAATTTAGACCGGTTTGTTTTAAATTATTTTTTTACACATCATCAGTTAAAAACTAATTAAAAATGACATGTAATTGGAAAATGGAGCTAAACAGTCTTTTTGCGACCAAAACTCATTCTGGAGCTGACACGTAAGCGAAAGACGGTGAAATTAGCTGTGAGCGCGACACTTAAGGAAATCACTACACAAATAAGTAGTTATTTTGAGAAACATAAGAATTTGAAAAAGACTTTTTTAAAAAGAAATCATAGACATAATATATGTTAATACTTGTTTTTAAAAACAAGATGACTCTATGAATTTTTGGTTAGAATGAAAAAGAAAAAAGAGGTTTAGCAATTGTGAAAGTTGTGATTAAAAACTTGAGAGGTTGCTTATATTTATACTAAACCATAAGAAATCTTTGCCTAGATTTTTGTTAACTTTTTAGTTAGGTCTTTTGATTATTTCGAAGATATTAGAAATGGTAAATTTCTTTTTTTTAAAAATTTATTTTTATAAAAACATTTTTGAAGATATTAGAGCACCTCCATTGAAGTTTATGAGAGGTTGTTGGCACAGTTACATATGCACCAAGCTTTAAAAAATATAAAAGCAAGTCCAAAACTTAACATACGGTCGTTTAGCTAACATACTGAAATAAGGGGTTTATGGGCGACGTGTCGGTATTGTATTGGCCGCATGTTATTTTTTTTATTTCAGCGAGAAGCCCACTTCTGTGAACAAAATTAAATTCGCTGATGGACACCAAATACATCACTGTTCCATCTTTAGTGAAATATTAATAAAAAAATGTTAACATCCCCAAACACAGTATAACCGCTGGAGATGCTCTTAGAAATGGAAATTTTTTTTCTTTTTAATTTATTTTTATAAAAATGTTTTTGAAGATATTAGAAATAGAACTATTTCGAAGATATTAAAAATGGTAAATTTCTTTTTTTAATTTATTTTTACAAAAACATTTTTGAAATGGAAATTTTTTTTTTCTTTTTAATTTATTTTTATAAAAACGTTTTTGAAGATATTAGAAATGGAAATGTTTTTTTTATCTAAACGTTTTTGAAGACATTAGAAATGGTAAATTCCTTTTTTTAATTAATTTTTTTTTCAAAATTTTGGTTTAATCTTATTTTAAAAACGATTTGTTTTGACAGTGAAATTAAACATTAAACCACAATAATTTAGTTCGGTTTGTTTTAAGTTGTTTTTAAAAACATTTTTGAAGATATTAGAAATGGAATTTTTTTTTTGTCTTTTTAATTTATTTTTATAAAAACGTTTTTGAAGATATTAGAAATGGAAATATTTTTTTTTATCTAAACATTTTTGAAGACATTAAAAATGGTAAATTCCTTTTTTTAATTAAATTGTTTTTTTTTTAATTTTGATTTAATCTTATTTTAAAAACAATTTGTTTTGACAGCGAAATTAAGCATTAAACCACAATAATTTAGTTTGGTTTGTTTTAAGTTGTTTTTTACATGTCATCACATGAGTACCAATCAAAAATTGACACGTAATTGGAAAATAGAGCTAAACGGTCTTTTAACGGCCAAAATTCATTCTGGAGCTGACATATAAGCGAAAATCGGTGAAATTCGCTGTAAACACGACACGTAAGCAAATCCCTACACAAATAAGTATATAGATGGCATATCACATAAATAAATGAATTGGTTTTCAAAGATATCAAAACATAAAATATTTAGCAAGATTTAATGTATTTTGAGTGTATTTATAAAAAAACATCACCATTTAGAATTTATTTTCAACGTGTTTTCCTTATTCCTTTTGAATTAGGAAATAGCTATTTATATGGATCCTCAATAACCTAGAACCCACTCCAAAAATCAAACAACTGAAATAGACAAATATCAGAAAACGTCCTCATGTCTCCCTCTACCTCTGTCGCTGTTGCACGAGTTTTGTCCTCTTCCGCCGTGTGAGGTCTAATTGGCTACATTCAACGAGTGGGCTTAACGGCCCAGGTCCGACTAATTTGCAGCTGGGCCAGTAGTGATCAGGAATGGCCCAAAAAGAGTTCCAAGCCTGCAGAGAGATTAAGTCGGATAAGGTTTGTTACAACGGATTATGATCGTCGTCTCGAACAGAAAAAGTTCAAGGAGAGAGAGAGCAATACTGAAGAACGACGAGCTTAGAGAAGCAGATAGAGAGATCGCGCCATTGATCTAAGGAAGAAGATCGATTCCGTCATCGAGGTCTTCATCTTCCCAGCTTTCTCTTGAGGATTCGCTTCCTAATCTCTTTCTTGTAAAGCTCAAAGTAGATCGATCCTGTAACAAGAAAGAACCTGTGTTAAGTCCTGTAACTTCGATCGATAGTGAAAGCAGTTGAGGGACTGAGTCTCCCTCCCCTGAGACGTAGCCTTTTACGGTGAACTCAGGGTGACCAAAATTGTGTTCCGTGTTCTTTAAGGTTTTAGATTCACCAGACTTAGATAAGAAAATCGTTAAGTCATCCTAGCTAATATTCTCTACAAGTGGTATCAGAGCAATCCAGGTTGACTTGCTAGGATTGAGGAGTGGTGAATCTAAGAACAGAAACGAAGAACTTATCTTGAACTGGTTCTAGGAGTAGATCTTTTGTGAGATTTGTTTGAACCAGTTTCCTGTTCTGGCCATCGCCATTGTGGCGAGTTGAATTTGAGCGAAGTTGTGATCTGTGTTGCTTTACTCTTGGTGCATTCTCATCTTTTATCTCGTGACCTGAAAAGGAAGCAATACATCGATCAAGATGGAACCAACTCAAGGCAAATTTGAAATGGATAAATTTGATGGGAAAGGGGATTTTGGCATGTGGAAATACAAGATGCTGGGACAGCTGGACATTCAGGGTCTGCTTCCAGTATTAGAGGAGAACTTCACGGTTTATGCTGATCCAGTAGAAAATCCTTTTGGTGAAGACGCAAAAGCTGATGCGTCGGAGAAGAAAGTGGATGACAAGAAAGCAGCGAAGGACCTAAGGGTTAGAAGCCTGCTTGGAACTTGTCTCAGCGACCAGATCCTGAGGAAGATTATGCATGAACCAACTGCACTTGGACAGTGGAAAGCACTTGAAAGGATATATCAGACTAAGTCACTCCCCAACAGAATTTATCTGAAGAAGCAGTTTGCCTGTTATAAGATGGAAGAAAATAAATCCATAGAAGAGAATGTGGATAATTTCCTTAAGCTGGTTCAAGACCTAAACAGTCTAAAGATTACCATCTCAGAAGAAGACCAGGCCATCCAACTTCTCTCTGGACTCCCAGCAGCATATGAACCCTTAGTTCATATTCTCCAATACGGCAGTGGAAAATATACTATTACGGTTGATGAAGTTGTTGTTGCTGCCTATTCAAAGGAAGCTGAATTAAGGCAGAAGGGTCTGCTAAATAAGAACAAACCGGCTTCAGAAGGACTGTATGTTGAATCTCGTGGGAGACCTGAGAAAAGGGCAGAGAATGGAAACGGAAAGAACTCCAAGAGACCCAGAAAATCAAAGAGTCGTGATGGCAGGTCGAAATCCAAGACCAGAACAAATAAGGAGGGTAAATCAGAATGTTTCATCTGTGGTAAAGATGGACATTGGAAGAGAGAATGTCCGAACAAAGGGAAACAGAAGAGTGCAGAGTCTTCAGCGAATGTAGTTTCTGAGGTGAAGCAGCCTCTCGTTCTTACAGCCAGCGTTAATCACTCGAAACATGAGTGGGTAATGGACTCAGGTTGCACTTTTCATATTACACCTGATAAGGAGCTACTGTTTGACTTTAAAGAAGTCGATGGAGGAAAGGTTCTGATGGCAAACAATACACACAGTGTTGTCAAAGGAGTGGGAAAGATAAAAATCACTAATCCAGATGGAACTGAGGTAATTCTCACCGACGTGAGGTATATGCCAAACATGAGCAGAAACCTTATCTCCTACGGAATGCTAGAAAAGTCAGGATGCAAATATGAAGGAGAAGGGTTCACAGTGACTTTCTACAAAGATGGTGAAAAGGTAATTTCTGGAAAATACAATGACGGCCTTTATTACCTTGAGGGTACGGTGAGAAAGGCAGAGGTAAACCTCGTAGATGCCAAGAACAGAATGACCTCCCTATGGCATTCTAGACTTGGCCACATGAGCTCTAAAAATATGGGGGTTCTTGCCCGTGAAGGATATTTGCCAAAAGCTGAGATTGGGGAGATGGATTTCTGTGAGACCTGTGTTCTAGGGAAATCACATAAACAAAGTTTTCCATCAGCCAAACACACAACAAAAGGAATTCTTGAGTATGTCCATTCAGACTTGTGGGGATCTCCTTCAACACCAGAGAGCTTGGGAGGATGTAAATACTTTATCAGTTTTATAGATGATTACTCCAAGAAAGTGTGGGTCTACTTCCTAAGGACTAAGGATGAAGCATTTCATAAGTTCAAGGAATGGAAAGAGGCTGTGGAGAGTCATACGGAGAAAAAGATAAAGTGCCTGCGCACTGACAATGGTCTAGAATTTTGTAATGCACAGTTCGATGATTTGTGTAAGAAATCTGGGATAAAGCGCCACAGGACATGCACTTACACCCCACAGCAAAATGGTGTGTCAGAAAGGATGAACAGAACTATTATGGACAAAGTTAGAAGTATGCTTGCAGAAACTGGTTTAGGACAAGAGTTCTGGGCTGAGGCTACTTCTACAGCGGTATACCTGATTAACAGAACACCTAACTCCACTCTAGAGTTTAAACTTCCTGAGGAGGTGTGGTCAGGACATAAGCCAGAGTTGTCACATCTAAGGAGGTTTGGTTGCTCAGCATACGTTCATACCATCCAGGAAAAGACAAGTCCAAGAGCTGAAAAAGGTGTTTTTCTGGGATACCCATTTGGTGTCAAGGGATATAGAGTTTGGATGCCAAAGGATGGGAAATGTACTACTAGCAGAAACGTGGTATTCAGGGAAGATGAGATCTACAAGGATACATTATCTTCTACAGGCGAAACTCTTGAAAATTCCAGTGAAAGACAAATAAGGAAGAAGTCCGATAAGAAAGTGAAATTTCATACGCAGCTTATTCAGGGACCAAGTTATGAACACGGTGAGACTTCATCTCAAGGTGGAGAATCTGCTTCCCAGTCTGAGTCAGAGAACTTAGAAGGCTCTAGTGATTCCGAAGGATCAGAAAATGAAAGTGATGAAGGATTAACTTTTTTAATGAGGAAGTCGAGACAGAGAACAGTCAGTCTCTAGAAGGATATCTTCTTGCGCGTGACAGAAGTAGGAGACAGAATATCAGGCCTCCTTCCAGATTCGAAGACTCAGATTTTGTGGCATATGCTCTATCTGTTGCCGAAGATATAGAGACTGATGAACCGAGATCTTTTGAGGAAGCAAAAAGGAGTAAGAAGTGGAAACACTGGAATAATGCTGCTAAAGAGGAAATGGATTCACTTGAAAAGAATCAAACTTGGGATTTGATTGATAAGCCCGATAAACAGAAGCTGGTTGGGTGCAAGTGGATTTTTAAACTTAAGCCAGGAATTCCAGGCGTGGAAAAACAGAGATATAAGGCAAGGCTTGTGGCAAAGGGGTTTTCACAAAAGGAGGGAGTGGATTTTAATGAAATCTTTTCACCTGTTGTGAAACATGTGTCCATCAGAATAATGTTGTCTTTGGTGGTGAATTTAGACTATGAACTGGAGCAGCTTGATGTCAAAACAGCTTTTCTCCATGGAAATTTGGATGAGAGGATATTGATGAGTCAGCCAGAAGGATTCATTAAGAAGGGAGAAGAAAATAGGGTGTGTCTTCTGAGGAAATCCCTATATAGATTGAAACAGTCACCTAGACAATGGAATCTAAAATTTGACAGTTTCATGAAGGGGGAAAGTTTTTTGAGAAGCAGCTTCGATCCTTGTGTTTATATGAAAAACATAAAGACAGATAAAGCCATCTATCTTCTTCTATATGTTGACGACATGCTTATAGCTTCAGGGAATAAATCAGAGATTAGAAAGATCAAGGACAGCTTAAGCAGGGAATTTGAGATGAAAGACTTGGGAAAAGCATCAAGAATTCTGGGTATGGACATTCAAAGGGATAGACAGAAGGGATTATTGATTCTATCGCAAGAGAAACTACATTGAGAAGGTCTTGAAGAGTTTTGGAATGAAAGAATCAAAGTCGGTGTCTACTTCTATAGCATCACATTTCAAGCTAAAAAGTTTGACCAAGACAGAATTGAAGGTAGAGGCTGAGCATATGGAAAGGATTCCCTATGCAAGTGCAGTGGGAAGCCTTATGTACGCCATGATTGGTTCAAGACCAGATTTAGCTTATGCTGTGGGTGTTATTAGCAGGTTTATGTCAAAACCAGGTCGAGAGCACTGGGCAGCAGTTAAGTGGGTTTTGAGATATTTGAGGGGTGCATCAAAGGTTAATCTCACGTTTGTTAAAGGTTCAAGTTTCAGTGTTAAAGGGTACTGTGATTCTGACTATGCTACAGATTTGGATAGAAGGAGATCTGTGACAGGTTATGTTTTCAAAGTTTGGGGAAATACAGTTTGTTGGAGATCAAATTTACAGTCTGTGGTGGCCCTTTCAACAACTGAAGCTGAGTACATGGCTCTTTCTTCAACCGTGAAAGAGGCCATTTGGTTAAAAGGCATTTGCGATGAATTGGGTTTTTCACAAGGAAGTATTAAAATCCATTGTGATTCACAAAGTGCATTGGCGCTTGCAAAGAACTCTGTGTATCACGAACGGACGAAGCATGTTGCTACTAAGTATCATCATATAAGGGATATAGTTGCACAAGGTGATGTTACTCTATTCAAGATTCATACAAGCAGGAATCCAGCAGATTTTTTAACTAAAGCCTTACCTGGGCCTAAGTTTCAGCTCTGCTGCGATCTCCTTAACATCGCTTAGTAGCTTGAAGGCTCCGGGTAACTCCACTGCCAAATGGACCTCTCGCGGAAGGAAGAAATATGTGAACTTAAGGTTAGTTCTTTCTCCCTGTAAAATTGGCAGTAAAATCTAAAAGAATTGAATGGTGAATGAGTTACCCGTGGAGCTTATGAAGCGGAGATGAAGAGTCTCTAGCTTCAGGTGGAGCGTCTGAGCTGAGAATATCAGGGAATAATCAGTTGTTTTCTTTTGGTATATCTCGAATCAGAGGATAACAGCGAGAGTGTACAAATTTGGGTTTTTTGAGAATTACCTGAGTTTGGTCTAGGCAGCGGAAGTGCTGAAGTTTGTTCAGAGGGTAGCTGCAGAGAGGAAGTGGATCTGGGTTTTTCTCAGCGATTCCTCACAAGAAGAGTTCACAATCAGGAATAAGCTCTTATAAAAAGGTGTGAACCTCAGATTAAGAGTCTTTAAGGTGTTACCTGTATGTGCTCTTCCCCTCGGCGTCGTTTGACAAGGCCGGAGATGCGGCGATGGTTTGGAGAAGTCGCATCGGAGCTCATTATCGAAGAAGAGACAGGATTAGGGTTCAGCTACTTTGTCGGGAGTTGTCTGAAGCCAAAGGTGGAGTTTGTGAGGTCTAATTGGCTACATTCAACGAGTGGGCTTAACGGCCCAGGTCCGACTAATTTGCAGCTGGGCCAGTAGTGATCAGGAATGGCCCAAAAAGAGTTCCAAGCCTGCAGAGAGATTAAGTCGGATAAGGTTTGTTACAACGGATTATGATCGTCGTCTCGAACAGAAAAAGTTCAAGGAGAGAGAGAGCAATACCGAAGAACGACGAGCTTAGAGAAGCAGATAGAGAGATCGCGCCATTGATCTAAGGAAGAAGATCGATTCCGTCATCGAGGTCTTCTTCTTCCCAGCTTTCTCTTGAGGATTCGCTTCCTAATCTCTTTCTTGTAAAGCTCAAAGTAGATCGATCCTGTAACAAGAAAGAACCTGTGTTAAGTCCTGTAACTTCGATCGATAGTGAAAGCAGTTGAGGGACTGAGTCTCCCTCCCCTGAGACGTAGCCTTTTACGGTGAACTCAGGGTGACCAAAATTGTGTTCCGTGTTCTTTAAGGTTTTAGATTCACCAGACTTAGATAAGAAAATCGTTAAGTCATCCTAGCTAATATTCTCTACACGCCGCCGTGAAACAAAACCCTCTGAAACGCAAAAGCGACAACGATGAGATCACTCAAGAAAAAGCCGCCGTGCTTATGGCGATGCATAAAGAAGAAGACAACGACGAGCATGAGCAGCACACTCCGTCTTGGGAGGCACTAAGCCTTCTTGGCCTTTACATGGAGCCCAAAACTCTCGCGGTCGCTTCTTGCGTCTCAACCACGTTGCTAAAGTGTTTCTCCTTGGAGAATCTATGGAAGTCTCTCATAACCGCACGGTCCACAAAACCATCTTCTCCCTACGATTTTTCCTTGGAAAACACGGAACTCATCTCCTACAAACACCTTGTCTCCACCGTTGAAACCGACGCAAAACGCCGCCGCAAGAATCATCAACTTCCTGCTGAAATCAAGATATCCATGTCGGATCTCAGCTTCATCGTCCACGTGTCAACGGAAACAAAGAAAGCATCCGTTCTCAAAAAGGGGAAAGACCTCGAGTTTGGTCCTAACGACAAGTTCCTAATCGAAGCCGACGTGAGCAGCTCCGGGATCACTGCCGGTGAGAAGAGCGTGAGGATGACATGGCAAGTCGTGTACAAAAACTGGGAGAAGTTCTTGACGATAGCGGATGATACAAGTACAAGATCGCTGGACAGAAATTACGGGTGGTTCACTGACAAACTCGAGGACAAGGACAACCGCAAGCTACTAGGCGACGTCAAGCCGAGTTTTAACGGCGGTGTTCTCGACAAGATTGGATTTTCCATCATTGACTCCGACGGCTGGGGAAATCTGTTAGTTTACGGCTTTTTGAGATATCTTCAGTGGTTTTTGTTGGAATAAATCTCCATTGATCGGTACAATTGTATAAGAAACAAGTTTCCTTGATCTGTAAGTAACCTAAAAGTTTCTTTTTGTAACCCAAAAGTTTATGATGTGTTATTCCCTCCTTGTTTATATACTCCATAGTATTAATTAAATTCAATAACTTGCCTTGTTCAGAAAACTTATATATTTCATGAAACAGAGAAGTAGTACTCATTAAGCTCGCTTTTTTTTTTGTAACATCATTATTAAGCTCGAGTTATTTCTTGTAAATAGTTATGGTTAAGTTTTTAAATGGAACGACTAGTACTCTGTGTTCATTAAGATTGATTTATTCTACTTCCTGAGACTTTAGATTTATTTAATTTAATAAGAACATTATCCGTTACGAGTTTACCAAATTCAGACCAAGTCATCAAGAACCCTTGCACTGAGGACACATGTAATGTAACAAGCTAGGATACACCACAGAGTTCTAACTAATCGAGTCATATGTCTCTAATGGTACAACTCCAAATTTCAATCACTTCTTTTACTCATGGATCAAATTGACTTATTGTGACTTATGATGATACATATTAGACCATGATCAATGGGAGTTTTTAAGGGGGGTTCTTAGCTATTTTTTGTTTAAAATAGAGTAAGTGATCTTTTTTTTTTTTAGAGTTCTAGGAGGTTCTGGTCCGAAGCCCGTAATCCGCCCAGGCCTGAAACAACAGCATTTAGTAAGTGATCTCTTTAAACTCTCAAATCTCAATTTATTCATACCTAACTTGATTTGGTGTATCTTTTTTTTTAAAAGGCCACACATTCTGTTGATTCAATCAAGATTTAGTTAGATTAGGGTTTATTAAATTATTCTTACTGATTTTGACGATGATCTGCAATTTTGACCTCTATGACAATTAATGAAAACCCAAACTGATCTTTAGTCCGAAAATTCAGAGTTCAAAGTAATGAAAGATCTTCAAAATCACGTAATCGGCCATTGTTTCGTTTTTTTGGATTTTCTCGTGCTCCAAATCTATTTTTTGTAATATATATATATATGTTTTCCGACCATGTTTAAGATGAAATGCATCAGTCCTATCGAGACAATAAGGACAAGATAGTATCCCGTGCATAGTCCAACCTGATAGCATTTCATATACAGGGAAGTCGCTTATTGTCCACATAAACACCGTCTGCATTGTAAAATTTTTGCCTCTCGAACTTTCATCTGTTTGAACTCTGTTATGCCACAACTGGTTGAACTCATGTATGAGTGGTTGAAAAAACACATCAAGGGCCTGCATCGAGTGATATGGACCATGAACTAAGATACCGAGAAACAAAAATTTCCTTTGCAGGCACATATCTAGAGGAAGGTTATAAGGCATAGGATTACTGGTCATAACAAATATTTCCTACCAGACATACCGAATGGACTAAATTCGTCAGTGCAAAGACTAAGATAGACATTCCTCTTAGATTTAGCAAAGTCTGGATGTAAGGTGTTAAAGTGTTTCCACGATTTTGCATCTAACGGGTGAGTCATTTTCTCATCTGTTTGTGAATGTTCTGCATGTCGTCTCATTGATGCACCTGTCTTTTCAGATTGATAAAGTCGTTTTAACTTATCAGTTATAGGAAGATACCACATCTGTTGGTACGATATCTTACTATGCCCAGAAGTTTGCGGCTTATATCTCGGTTTGTGGCAAAATCAACATTTCTGCAGCTTATCATCATCTCTTCAGAAATACATACATTTATCAACACATACATCTATCATCTCCGAAGGTAATCCAAGACTAAAAACGAACTTTTGTATCTCATAGTATGTTTTGGCTGCCAAATTATCCTCCGGCAAATACTTTTTAATAAGACCTGCACAATCATTCGTGCAAACTTCAGCTAGATTATGATCAGGCTTTATTGTCATCATCCTAGCTGCTAATGACAATTTAGACAGTCCTTCTCTACATCCCTCGTAGAGTGGCTATTTTGTAGTGTTTAACATGTCATAAAAGCGTTTAGCATCTACATTGGGTTCCTCAACAATATCAGCATGTGTTTCATGAAATGCATCAGTAAATATAGCACGCATCATGTCATGATCTTGACCCTCAAATTGATGCTTACTACTCTGATAATAATTTGATGCATCAAAATCATCACCATGACCTTGATTATTACTACTAACACTGAAGGTTTCGTATTTTTTTCCAGGGTTATCTACTGTTAAGATTGTTATGGTGCTCATGCGGTTTGAGGAGGCTGAGAATATTAATCTCCATTGGAGATAAGATACTCTTCCCATTGATAAAAATGGTATACATAATTGAATATGATACTGACTCGTTTCTTGACTTTACTCATAAGGAGTTAATTTTGTTTTATATCTTCTTAATTGATATAACAAATTTATTAATATCTCTGCTCCTTTTGCTTTTCTTCATTGATTTTCAAGATGCTCAAATCATTATATGTTATTTGGCTCGCATATGTTAAACATTTATAATAGAATGATACTTTTTTGTAGATCTCTGCTCCTTCTGCTTTACTTCATTGAAATTCAAGATGATCAAATCAATTTCTGAGCTGGCTTAAGTATTTATAATACAATGATACTTTTTGAAATATCCATAGTTAGGGTCAGATTTCATGTCATGTGTTACCTGAACTAAAGTTAGCTAAAAAACAGATGAAGAAATTTCACTTATAACTGTTGTACAAACTAGGTAATACATTTTTTTACATTTTAAAGTATGCGTGTTGAGAAGACATTGAGTATGCATGTTGAGGAGATAAGTTTCATAATTTTTTATGAAAATAATATTCAGAAGATTAAAATATAAATACAACTCATATTATTTGATATTTTTAGTATATTTATTTCAAACCATTCAAAATTTTCAAAAATAGAAATAATTATAGATATGTAGAAAATATTATAAATTTGGAAGAAAAAGATTTTTTTATATATTTATGTTAATTAATATTATAGGCAAAAACTGGTAAAAGCATTAAAGGATAGTATGAATGTGAAATAATTATAGATATAGAAAATATTATAAATTTGGAAGAAAAAGATTTTTTTTATATTTATGTTAATCAATATTTTAGACGAAAACTGGTAAAAGCATTAAGGAATAGTATGAATATCTTAGCTATATACAGTGAATGGATAGAAAAGATCTACAGCTTTTTATTTTTAATGTTTGACGGTGAAGATATATTACGCTTGATTGAACGGCCTAGTTTTTATGTAAACAACAACATGTGATGCTTATGAAGTGCAATTTAAATAGAGTTCTTCTTTTTACTTTTGTCTACGCTACCAAATACCGAAGATCGTTATATATATATATATATATATATATATATATATATAAAAAAAAGAAGATCGTTATATATTGTTATTCAATCACTTCCCATTCATAATTTTCATTTCTTGTTCTTCCAAAGGTATGCGTCAGTTTATTTTTTTACGTCTTTGATATATATCTATATATATATAGTCCATGAATCCCACCAAACATAACCCGAGTATCTTATATTTTCTGCTGGGTTTGTGGGAACTTTGACGTGTTGCGATTAGCGTATGCTTTATTTCTTTCTTGTTTTTTTTATAATTAAATCATACGTTTTTGTTCGTGGTCGGGTTCAAGTTGATGTATACTTCTATTTATCTGAATTTTTAAAGTATGATTCAATATTGTAGTTTTCAGATCTATTTATGATTTTTTTTTAAAGTCGATCCAAAATATTTGATTAAAAGCTCATTTTGTTTATGGAGCCTTATTTTAATTATATTTTTCATTCATTTCAATTTTTTTGTAAATAAAAAACAGGCCTATTTCTTAATACAATGGTGTTCATTGGAACTCAGATCTAAACATATTATTATGCAGTTTAATGACAATATGTGGTTTACTATTGAAAAAACATAGACTGAACATTTCTCCTCTACTGTTTTTTTAGACTCTAATTACCATTTCTTATCTTCTATATGTTATTGAAGTTAATTAAGATATATTTTATACAACCTTCAAAATGTTATCAGCAATTAGTAAAACTCTTTGCAATATACATACTTGTTTAGTTATTTTATGCCTTAATTTTTCTGTTTTTTCAAGATGTGTTCTATTTACTATTTTGTTTCTTGTATTCGATGTTCTTTATTATAATCATTCATTGCATATACTTAGTTTTTCATATTCAGTTTTTTTTCTCATTAAATTTTATGTTGTTTTGATTTCACCATTTTTTTACATGACTTTATTTTTTTGTTGCAATAGATAGTATGTGGTGTCCAGTTGAAGCTGAACCGCTCAAAAGTATTAACGATGATCATAATAAGACCGAAGACACATCAACACCAACTCCTCTAATGGACACAGCACTTCTAATGAATAGACCATTTACAGAATCTGATGGTATCAGTGATGGAACCCATAAGACAACAACATCTCCTCCTGTGATGGTCACACCACTTCTAGTGAATAGACCATTTACAGAATCAGGTGGTGCCAGAGATAAAATCCAGAACTCAACAACACCTTTTTCTCTAATGGTCACACCATTTCAAATCATCATACCATTCAAAGACTCCAACAAAGACAATTTGGCTTATGATGCTGGTCCTAGTACTGGTCTTATCAAAAGACAACATAGTCGGCCAAAAGGTTCAAAACACCTGAAGGTAAGCGTGAAAAAGCAGAAAATTTATGCTCCCAACAGCAAGGTGGTTCCATCAAACCCAAAATTCAACTCAGGGATAACAGAAGTGGAGAGAGAAATTGGAAACCAAGAGGCGGCTGATTCGGTTTAGACGTCAGTTATGACAACTAGACTACGAGAAAAGCATTGTAACAACATCACTCACTAATTGTAGCAATTTGGGTGATCGATTCAAACCCCATCAGAACCGAATCAGCCACCTTTTGGTTTCCAGTTTCTCTTTCTGCTTTTGTTATCCCCGAGGTTTGATGTAACCACCTTGTTGTTGGGAGCATAAGTTTTCTGCTTGTTCA